GTGCCAGGGCAGAGCTCACCTGGGCCAGGTGTCCCTCAGCCCCGGGCAGGTTTGTCTGCTGTCACAGTACCTGTGACTGTTGAGTTCACTGGCCGGGGCCTGGCCAGGTGCACCCCTGGCTTTCGCTGCTCTTCCAAACCCAGAGGCAGCAGAAAATTCTCCTCACTTGGGTGGCTTTCTGACATGGTCTGCCCTTTGCTTTTTTTGCTTAAGGCTTCCTACTAGACCTATCCTCTTCTTTTTTTTTTTTTTCCTCTTCTCCTCCCACTCAAACTTTTTTTTCAGCTTTCAGTAGACAACGTCTGCAGACTTTGATTTTTAAACTGAGAGACTGAGATGGAAAGCTCTGAAGAGAACAGACCTCTCCCTCCCCATTCACCTTTTGCTGTGGCAGCTATTTTTTGGTTTTTTTACCCTTATGAGACAGTGCAGCTCTTTTACCTGCCAGTTGCAGTGTGAAAGCAAGCAGATTCCCTGCCTCTGCAGTGGGTTGCTGTTTTTAATGGCTGCTTTGGTTAAAAAAAAAAAAAAAAAAAAAAAAAAGAAGATTAATAATAATAGGAGAGAAGGGGAGAGAAAAATCTTTCTGCCTCTAGCCCCTTTTCCCCTTGCTGTGGGCAGATTACCTGCTTGTCGCTTGTTAACAAGGAATTTGTATTTATTGGTAAAGGAAAAAAAAACAGGCTGGGGAAGTCAGGAGATGTTGCTTTATTGACCTCTGCTGTTTACTTCAACCCCCTCTTTGGGAAAGCTTCTTCCTGCTCTTTCTGGTTAACTCTTTCTAGCCTGGGATATGCAGGGATGCCTCCTTTATTTTTGTATTCTAGCAATGGGCTCTCCGTTAGGAGACTCTAGGATTCTCTTAGTGTTGCAGTGACCATTGCTTCTCGCTTTTTTGAGTACTAAAGACGATCATCTCGTAAACTTTGCCCCTGCAGTTGTAGAGGTAACACATGAGCCTTACTGCCCTCATTAGAAGGAGCAGAAAACTTGTTTCTCTGGTCCCTGGAAGAGAAAGGGTTAAGCGATTAAAGAATTCTTTGTTCTAGTTCTTTCTTGGTGTCATTTTCTTCGGGGGATCCCTGTGGTTTTGTTCTACCTTTCTCTTCCGTGAGGGTGGGTGGAGGGTGGCCTGGTTGGGCCAGGTGCTGTCAGTTCTTGAGAGAACAGGGGCTCCAAAAACTTGCATGGGAAGGGGCTGGGGAGCCCAAAATGTGGCCCATAAGCTGTGGTGGCCCCGGAGTCGGTGCTGAGTGAATTCATCGGGTTTGGGAACTCGGAGCTGAGTGAATTCATCCAGTTTGGGAACTCGGAGCTGCCAGCATTGGGTGGGGATGGAGGAGGGGAGGGAGCACGTCCTGCAGAGCTGCTCCAGCAGTCCCTGTGCCTGTTGTCAGAGACAGCAGAGCTCGGAAATCCTGGGAGCCCCTGCTCAGCCCGAGGGAGATGGAGCTGCACCAGCCCGTCCTGCCTTGGAGCTGCTCCTTGGGCTGGGCTGGGGGCTCGGGCACACCCGGGCTCGCCTGCCTGAGGGACCCGAGGTGTTCCCGTGGCAGCAGCAGCGCCTTCCCTGCCTTAGTGGTGTGCCCATCACCAGCCCTTGTGCCCAGAGCTGCTCCTTTGCTAAAGATTTCAGAAACTCTTTTTCCTCTGGATTCCTGCTGCAAAACCTCCCAAGTATTTCCTTGCTCTCCAATCTGCAGGCCTTGAGGGAGAGTTTGAAAACCAGGCTGTTATTCTCAGAATCCATTTGAACTCTTCTCTTAATTCCTGTTGGACACCTTTCAGCCGAAGGTCTTTTGAGGCCTCTTCATTTCAAATCCTGTCTGATATAAATTATTGCTTTAAAAGGCAGCTCTGCTGTAACAAAGCAATGAGCATCCATAGCTGGAATTGGCAATCAGCTAATTGGGTCAGCTCTTGGAGTGAGTGGTTGGAAGCTGAGTGTTTGAATTGTGGGTGGAAATGGGTAGAAGGACCCAGAAAATTAGTTTTATTTATCATTTGGATGAGAGGATTGGGTTGAGGAGGCAGAGGAGGGATATGCTCTGGGATGTGGGGGGAGGAACATATTTGCAGCCTGACTGACAAATTCACTTTTCTCTGATGGAACTGTTGGCAGTGCCAGCGACAAAACTGCAGAGGGCTCGGGATGGGTGCTGCGTGTGAGCAGGGTGTCAGAATGGCCGGCTGTGGGTGC